GAGCTGAATTCATAAAAGCGAGAAATTCCCTAAATTTCATCCGTTTCGTCAGCGAGACAGCTTGTCCTTGCGGGGAGGGCGGGTTCGCGGTGCGCTGAGTGCTCGGGAGCGAAGCTCCGCGCTCCCGGGGGCGATGGAACCGGACGGGCCGCGTGCGGCTCCCGCCTGTGCTGGAGGGGACTGGGAGCGCTTCCGTACTGCCGGGAGACCACGGAGCGCCCCTGTGCTCGCCCGAGGAAAGGAAAGAGCTGTGTCTGCGTCGCTTACTGGGCGCTGTCGCACTGGTTTTCGAGAGTGAAAAACTGCAGTAAAAAAGCTTTGGTGTTTACATTTGTAGTTAACCTTTTCGTTTCCGATAGCTCTCTCCCTGCTACTCGCCATGAGCTTCATCTGAAGACTCTGGAAAGGATCTGGCAGCCCAGAGCTGGGGGCCAACCGTGGGATTTGTCTTGCGAGCACAAATTGGTCGGGCTAGCATCCGTTCTTCGGGGCCAGTTAATGCTCCTCCAGCTTCTGGTTTCGTGCTCAACAGCCCAACAAACACGTGCTGTGGGCGAGCGTCGCCGGGCGGGAGGTGTGTGGGACACAGCAAAGGGCTTCTCTGCCACGCTGGTACAAAAAGCTTCACTTTTGTGGAGTAACTTAAGTGTTATTTACAACTGGTTTTACAGGGTTTGCGTCTGAGCTGTGACCGTTCCTCTTTCCTCCCATGTGGTGTCACAGCGTGTTGTATGGTTTCTGCATGTGTGTACAATCAAGTTACTAACAGAGTGGAAACGCAAAAGGAAAAAGTGTTGCAGCTGCTCAACAACTCTCCTTTTTCCTCCATATAATTTGTGCTGCAAAAGTGGTGGTATATGGAAAACGTTCTTGTGTGGAATCTTGCCTTTTGCAGATACGCTTAAAATACTTTTTTAGATGCTTTTTTTTTTCCCAGTATACAGTTGTAATAGGAGAGGTATGAGCTTACTTATCCTTTAACGGGTAAGAGGTTTTCTGTCCCTAGCTGTAAGCCTTCGCTTCTCTGTCAGTGCTGTTATGTTCTGTGTTTAAATGTTGGCAACTCATTTTAGCTTTCAGATTAAGCACCCTGTAAGTAGGCTCACTGCAAATTAGATGTCAGTTAAGGAGCTGTAAAAATGATGAACTCTTAATAATAGGATAAAAGAAGTGAGATCTTGAAGGTTGTGTAGTTGTTTAGCAAATCAAAATTAAATCAGCTCTTCAGAAGTCGGATGGTTGCAGCGTTCTCTGTAGAGCAATAGTTGTGTTTCCTCGTGGCCCGGGGTCCTGACACATCCCTGCCCTCCACCTCTCACCAGTATAGTAATTCAGCCTGGATAAAGAGCTGCAGAGCTGCTTCTCCAGCAGGTAGTGGTGGGCAGCACCATCTGAATTTTAATGATGCTGAAATTACAGCAGATATCGTAGTGCCTCCAAGTGTCATGATGGAAGCCAAAGTTTTTTGGAAGAAGTGTTTGGGGGTTCTGTGGAGCTGTGGGTAGGAATGAGGATTTTCCTCTCTGCCCTTACTGGTGATGGTGGGAAGCGTGGGTAGCTACTGGTGCCGTGAGAACATGGAAATGGTGACGGGCACCAGGATGCTCAGTCTGCCCACCTGGGACCGGCTCCCTTGCCCGCCCTGGGAAGCCCTGCACCAGCTCCCAGCCCTTGTCCCTTGATGGTGGAGGCAGGCCCAGCTCCCAATATTCCCCAGATCCGATCTCTCCGGAGGCCAGGGCATGTCCACCAGGGGTTTTCTCACACACTGGAAGCTACTCAGTGAGGTGAGACAAGGATCTCCCTCTTCTCCTGTGCTCCTCTGCCCGTTGGGAGCACAGTAACCTCTACTCCAGCACCCCTTTTCCTGCAGTCCGGGGCGCCGCTGGCTCTGTGGGTGTTTTTTGCCCCTTTGTGCCAAGGGAGGGACTCTCCTGCTCCAGGTGAGGAGGGGGGACGGGGAGCTGCTCCCTGCTGGGGCCTCACCTGCAGCCCCAGTTGCAGGGGAGGCACCGCAGGGCTTGGCTGCACCACAGCAGCACTACAACGCCTGCAAAGGGAGTAGCGTGAAGTAGTTTAAGAAATTTAAAAACTTTGTCTCAAACAAGCCAGTTCTTTATTTACTTTTGGTTTTGTAACTGTTCAGTTCTCTCCGGTATCTGATGTAGAATTCTATTGGGTATTCTACGCATCAGATAAAATGTGTTTTACTACAGAACAAAAAAAAAAAAAGAGATTAGTGGTTGGTTAGTGGTTTGTTGGTTTTTGGTTTTTTTTTTAGTGAAAGACTAATATAGCATACACTATTAATAAACATTTGATTGTCCTGGATTTAACTTGCATGAAAAAGCATAGCGTGTGAGGACTGAAAAAGTAAATTGGGAAGTAATAAACCTAATTAAGATGAAAGCAAAACCAGAAAAATATTTTTTAAACGTTACGTGTGGCATGTCCAAGTAACGTGAGTAATGAAGCTGTTGAGATGAAGCCCTGAGTAACGCGTTAAAAATTCTGTTTGTCGCAGATGGACCAGTCGTCTCCCACCTACATGCTTGCCAACTTAACCCACTTGCATTCCGAGCAGCTTCTGCAAGGCTTGAACCTCCTTCGCCAGCACCACGAGCTCTGTGACATCATCCTCAGAGTGGGCGATGCCAAGATCCATGCCCACAAAGTGGTGCTCGCCAGCATCAGCCCGTACTTCAAAGCCATGTTCACCGGGAACCTTTCCGAGAAGGAGAACGCCGAGGTGGAGTTCCAGTGCATCGACGAGGCAGCCCTGCAGGCCATCGTGGAGTACGCCTACACGGGCACTGTCTTCATCTCCCAGGACACTGTGGAGTCCCTTCTTCCAGCCGCGAACCTTCTCCAGATCAAACTGGTCGTGCAGGAGTGCTGCGCGTTCCTGGAAAGCCAGCTCGATCCTGGCAATTGCATCGGGATTTCCCGCTTCGCAGAGACCTACGGCTGCCCCGACCTCTGCCTGGCTGCTAACAAGTACATCTGCCAGAACTTCGAAGAGGTCTGTCAGACGGAGGAGTTCTTTGAGCTTACGCATTCCGAGTTGGACGAGATTGTTTCCAATGACTGCTTGAATGTCGCGACAGAAGAAGCTGTTTTTTCCGCGCTGGAGTCCTGGATCAAGTACGATGTGCAGGAGCGCCAGAAGTACTTGGCACAGCTGCTGCACTGCGTCCGGCTGCCGCTGCTGAGCGTGAAGTTTCTCACGAGGTTGTACGAGGCAAACCATCTCATTCGTGATGATCATACTTGTAAGCATCTGCTGAACGAGGCCCTCAAGTACCACTTCATGCCTGAACACAGGCTCTCCCACCAGACCGTGCTGATGACACGACCTCGCTGTGCTCCGAAAGTCCTTTGTGCTGTAGGAGGAAAAGCTGGACTGTTTGCCTGTTTGGAAAGGTAAGTAATGACAGTCAAGTTGTTGCAGCACTCGAGTGGTGCGGTGGTCGTAGGTGTTTGTGACCACCCTGGGTCAGGATTCAGACAATCGTTGAAGAGCTGTGGTTTGCAGGACCACAGTTACTGCTGTCCTGCATAACAACTCCTAAGGAGGCTTTTTTTGAGCAAGGATGAGCACTGAGTTGGAAATGCTCTTTCATTTCAGGAGTCATCTTCAGTGTTACAGGGTTTTGTTCGTGCCGACACAAATAGCTGTAAAATCTTATCATTTTAATTCTGTCGATTGAGAGTTTGGTTAATAAAAGTTTGTACGCTACTTCTCTTTCCTTTCAGATCTTTTACGGAATTTTTCCCTGATGCATTTTTATTCCAGACAATCAAATCATAAGATTTAACCTAACATATGACAAATGTGCTTCCTGATAGCTCAAAGTCTTTGGAATTAAAATAGACTAATCAGTGAAAAGGTAATTCTTAGCAACGTCCCGTTCTTGATCGTGACGTCATCATGACGTAATCATGACTTGAGTCTCTGCCCCTGAGCAGGTGTCCGTGTCTGTGCTGGTAGACACAGGTAACACGCATCTTCCTTTGCCTGGTTTTCAAAACCAACCTCCTCCTCAGCTCCTGGAGCACATCACTGAGACTGATGGTGAGCGAAAGGAACGTAACGGGGAGAAAACCAGCTTTATTCCCCGTACTGGTGTGACTGGGTTTGCTTATGGCGTTGTGTTAACCTTTCCAGAAAGGGCAGTTGGGCTCCGTGGGGGCCCGTGTGGCTGCATGCTCCTACGTACACGTGTGGGGCTTTGATGTTGAACATACCCTTACCAGCTCAGAAAATGTTTCTGTGTTACGGCAGACTTCCCAGTCTGCTTCTGCAGCTGGATTCTGGGATGATATTTTACTCTGAGGTGTCCTTTTCTGTGACGGTTCCATGCTTGCACATCTATACACGCACCTAAAAACCTGGGAGGATCTGTAGGTTCTTTTTCCCTGTGTTTAGAGATGATGTCAAAGTTATTTAAAGTTATTAAATTCAAAGTTATTATTCCTGGTAATAGGGATCGATAGTAAACTAGGTGTTGGGACTGGAAATTGTTGGGTTTATAGATTTGAAAAATAAAGTGGGTTTTGTGCTTAATAAAAATTCTGTTTGTTTGGGAGAATAAAGTTGTTCTCTGATATTCTTCA